AGGAGAAGGAGAAGGAGAAGGAGAAGGAGAAGGAGAAGGAGAAGGAGAAGGAGAAGCAGCACTCAGAAACTCCAGACCTGCCAGTACAACATCTATCCTGGATAAGGCCTTCAATGAAATTATCAAGAAGAAGCATGTTTGTGAGTGCTTGGACAGGTGTGCTACAATTAACAGGAGCCAGAATAGGTTTGTTACAAAGAAATTGTGCCATGCTAACCTTATCTCTTCCTTTGATAGTTACTAGCCATTAGATCAGGAGAATGCTGCAGACATATGAGGACCTCAGCAAAGCCTTTGTTAGAATGCCTCATTATATTATTTGTATAATGGTAGACTATGGGGTAGATGATACAATTGTTAAGACAGACTCACAGTTGGCTAAATAATTGCATCCAGAGAGTGCTCATCAATGGTTCAGTTCAGCTTGGAGAGAAGCTTTGAGTGGAGTGCCACCGGGCTCTTTCCTAGACCCTCTGCTGTTCAACATTTTATAAGGATGAGGGAGTTGAGAGAACAGTATAATGTTTGCAGATGATGCAAAACTGGGAGGGGGACTAATATTTTAGATGAGGGAGAATCCTGTGTTAGGATAACAGAATCTGGGAGGTGGATGAGCTACGTGTTCCCTTCTATTACCACACAGACCATCCCATATGACAGAACCCAGGGCAATACTGCTGCTTTTGCAGTGACATTCATTGCCTGAAAATGGATGCTCCTCTTAAGTCAAAATAACTTTCAGCAGTCCCAGGAAGATATTCTGTGATGATAAGTGTCCATGACAGCATGACTCCCTGTACTCCTGTCTGCAAAAGTCCTGTATCTCCATTGCAATTTGTTGAGTAGTGGGGAGAAAGGAGAAACGGAGAAAGTATGTGGCAGAAGAAGAGAAAAAAGATATCTCATAATTTGCCAGTAATGGATTTCAGAAGGAATGCTGACCTTGCTAGTAAATGTTAGCACTCCCTTTAGAAGGACTTTAGAATTTATTTTATCTGTCATCCATCCATCCATCCATCCATCCATCCATCCATCCATCCATCCATCCATCCATCACATCTCAATCAAATGACTCTAGGTGGTGATGACTACATTGCACTAATATTTTCCTGGGGCTGTCACCAAAAGGATCTCTGACACCACCATTGTCAAATGTGATGACAAAAAAGAACATTTAAAAAGAGAAAGAGTGGTCCCTCTTAGGTAACCATCCTATTCTTTGTTTTGTTATGCTCTTGCCAGCAGTCCTGCTACCAGGATAGCCATCAGAATTTTACTTCTGACCACACTCACAAATTTTAAGCCAAAGATTTCCAAAGGAGAAGTTTCAGCTCAGTCTTGTCTTAGACCTTCAGGCCCTGGTGAATTGTATATAGCCATTCACCCTGTTTAAGTCTCTTGATTTGCCCCTCACAGCAAGGATTTGCATAGGAAATCATGTTTCATCTAATTAAGGTGCCCTGCTATGCATTTTGTCAAATGTTATTCATACGGTGGGATCATACATCCTTGAAACTCTGTGCTCAGGGGCCTTCCCAAAGCAGGATATTTTCCCCCTCTGCTTGCTATTTGAGTCCTTTAATGGAAAGAATCTGGAATTGAACTTGACACTTTTAAAAAAATGTAAATCATGCACTTTGTGTCTAAGATATTCTTATCCTTGCAGTTCCTGTTTACATAACACGCAAAATATATGGAGATGGACTCCAGGTTACCTCTCTGTATTTGCCCTATGCTGATTATGAGTTAATCTTTCAGTGTGCTCCATCAGCTGACCTTTTGCTTGGTTTTCTTCTTGCTGTTTTTGCTAAATCCAGGAATTTAGCAGTTAATTGTTAACAACCTATGGGACATCTGGTTCAAACACAGTATGAAGCCAGAAACTAGACTTAAGTTTTCAAATATTTCACCACTCTGAACCCCTCTCCAAATTGGGTAGATTTTTCTCTTTTGCAGGAATATAGTGTGGCAAAATGAAATACCCAAAACTCAAGGTTTAAGTTATCAATTTTTCCTCTTAAAACCCATCCCAAACTGTCACCAGACCAGGTTTCCCCTGACTTCTCCAATGATGTCTTGATATTAATCAGCCATATTTCACACATTCCAAAAAAAACTAGAACAAAAGAAACCACTACCTCCACTATGATTTGTGAACTCACGGATCAGGGCTCAGTTCAGAAATATGTAAAATAATAAATATGTCCATAAGTAGAGTTTGGATCTTTCATCAGCAAATGACATAAATGGCCTGTACCCAGCCTTGGTAAAAGGAAGCATTTCAATGAGGTGTTTCCTGAACAGAAGTGAGTTTTCTAAACCAGATAATACCTCGAAGCATCATAAACAACAGATTCACCCCATCAGTGAAGTCGCTTCATCCCACTGCTATCAAAATTTCAGACATTAACTTTTGGCATAGAATAGTCATCCATTCTTCAGCACTCAAAAGAAGTGACAAATTAGAAAGGAAAGACTGTGCAAAGTTATAGAACAATAACTCATAAAAGTTCATTGCCAAACTGGGAGTATCTCTGGTACTGTGGGAGTTGTGAAAGCTGCATTTCATCATTCCTTAAAAAAGGAAAGAATGGAAGAATGGGGTTGAACTGTAAAACTAATTAAAGTATAGTTGATCTTTTAATTTAACATGTTTCTCCAATATAAGGCAACATAAGTTTGCTAACAAAACAGATGCCATGCTTTATTAATAAGAAAAGGATCTAGACAACAACTTTAGAAATATACCATGCAGACATTTACCAAAAACAAAACCTAGCTACGCTCCAGCCTTCCCTAACCTGGTGCCCTAACAGACTGGCTGATGGGGTAATGGGAGCTCCAATCCAGTATATACAAAGGTCACCAAGCTGGAGAAGACTGGTACAGTCGATGAGGGCTGAACTCATCAACCCTGCTTCTTTGCCATCAGAAAATATACCATGCATTCTTCAGTGATAGCAAACCACTGCAACCGTTACAAGGCTGATTATTTGACCTCATGCCCCAATACCCAATTGCCCTAGGGTGGTGTTCCCCTGAGATGTGAGCAATGCTGGCAGCTGGATGGAGTGACAGTGCCTTGCCTAGTCTGCTTTGCCATTGACAATCGTATCACAAAACACATCCCAAGATGTCCCCAGAGAATGTTATCATCTCAGCTGGCAGGACCAAGCATAAATGGTCTTCTTGGTGGCGAACATGAATGCCTCTTTGCCTCTGTAGAGAAATGCTTTGCACAAGCAGAATCAGCCTGTACTGGCAGTGCTTAGGTGGACAGTAATAATAGGGATCCTGGTTGATATGTTGGGGGCAGATAGGTAAACCTTACCCTGAAGCCAGCAGGGACCACGATCCAAATGCGGGCTCATGGAGCACCACCAGCCCAGAATACCTAGATAATAGGCTCCCCAAGAACCTTGTGCTTTGGCCCCTATTACCTTGCATCATAGCAGTTCACTCATATAAAGTGCTGGTCTTCAGACTACAATGTTTTCTTGTCCTGTGCCCTGAGCAGTTGGGTGACACAGTAGGGGATTAGGGCAGCCGTTGCCAGGGGCACAGCAGCACTTTTGCAAAAAGAAAATAGGTAGAAGAGGAGCTCCACCTTGGCTGGAGGCTTGAAGGAGTCAAACAGGTGCAGGATAAGGAGCGAGGCACCAATGCTGCCCAGCCGAAAGTTTAGCTGCTGCCCTTGTTTGCTTTTGCAGCTCTCCACGTACATTGGGGAATTAAGGGCCAGCCCCAGTCCAAAGAGGATGCCCAGGTTGCGCAAGAGGCCAGCAAAGGGGGTAGTGTCCAGATGGACCCATTCCGGATGCTCACACCACGTCTTAGCCTTCTCCAAAGTCCATAGGAGGTCCACACCGAGCACCTTGAGCAGTAGGTAGAAACCCAGAGCAAAAGAGAAGAGGAAAAGGGTGGTAGCTATATACTTCCGCAGGCTGCGATCATAGATGGAACTGATGTACTGGAAAGACTCAGCCACCAACATACCTAACCGTGAAGAGGAGACAACACTATTTAGAATACTACCAGCATTTCGAAACTCTCAGAAATGTGAAGCAACATGTCTCGCCCTACCCTTGGCAAAACAGCTTAAGTCTGCTGCAAGCTAAAGGCAAGGTGGTTTTCCCGTCCCAGATAACATGCTTTGCATGTTTACATATGGTACAGTTTATTCAGTTTTGGGCAGTGGGGATTGCATAACAGACTGCTGGTAAAATACACTGGCATAATCTAAAGGCTGCAGCCTGTGATACATCTTGGCATACCATGGCGAAAATTGCATCAGGACTGCACTGACCTGAGAAGACACCGGCAATGACTTGGTGTGGAAAATGAGCGGCCAGGAAGACACGAGAGAGACAGACACAGACTTGGATGGTCCAAAAAGCAGCCCAAAGCACAGCCTGCAAAAAGCTGCCATTGGGAAAAGAGAAGAGGGAGCGGTGTGAGCACAGGCAAGCCAGACGGCAGGACCTTTTGGCAAGGATTTGCAAAGGCCACTTGCAGGTAACTTGCCCTTTCCTGTCAGATGTTAGAGTTGTGGAAAGGCAATTTGCAGTCAGTGAGATCCTAGCCTTTCCCCCTCGAAGGTGCCCAACAAAAGAAGTCCTATGAAAGCTGAGCCCGCAGCAGTTGGTTCAGCCATTCGGTGAACCGGGCCTCTCCCAGCTTCACGCAGCGATGCCTCCCAGCCTTTGACTTGCTGTCTGTTCTGTTGTCAGCCCTGCCCTTTCTTCCCTAGTTCTGGCTTGAATCAGTCCGTTAATTCACTGTCTGGCTTTTTAAACAGAAAAAAGAAACATTTTTCAACCTGCCAAGTTGTTTTAGAGGTTAGGAAGATGGTCAAGTGCTCCCTGTCTACCTCCATTCCCATTCTGCTTGACTGGAGCTGAGCGCTGTTATTTCTCTGCCGAACCATTTTAGACTCAAGGCTTTGCAGGGGAAATGGGCTGGCTTTCTTTTCTCTTCAACAGTGGACAGAGTCCAGCCTGGCTTTATAACGTAGGATGCATTCTTCTTGAAACCCAAAGACAGTTCACATTACTGTCCCTTATTCAAACCAATGAAAAATAGATCTGTCCCATTTCAGTGCCTCTCAGTTTTTTCATTTGGTTATTCTGTTTTCATTTTTGGGAGACTGTCACATTTAATTTGTTAGATGTCACTTGTTTTTTGAGTTTGCACTAAAATATGTGTATGTGGGTACACATATCCTCAAACGGGTATTTTGCTTGCAATTTTGCCTAGCTCTTATAAACAGTTTTTCCTAGCACTGCATTTTGGTATGAATATAGGCATCTTATATAACCTTTCCTCTGGTGGGTGGGTGTGTGCGTGCGCATGTGTGTATAGGCAAATTTGTTTGCTACATTTAGAAAAGTACAAATTTGAAATAATTTTCAGTTTGTAAATTGGTTTGAAAAAGTTGTTATTATATGCAAACTAAATGAGTTTCTTCATGTCTAATTTAGGCTAGCGCATCTTTTATTATTCTCCAAATGCTGTTGCTTACCGATGTTTCCATGATGGATGTTTCTCCCCCCGGGTGATGGAGAGAATGGCTGTAACCATCACATAGTATACACCAGCTGAACCCATTGCATGGCCAGAAGGACTCCCTAAAGTTGGAAGAAAGAACTTTTGACTCTCCAAATTGCCCATCATTTATAGACTTTACCAGAAAGGACAGCCTGTAGCTGCTTGGATGGTTTAGAGTTAGGCTGGGATTAGAGAGACCCAGGTTCAAGCCTACCCTTATCCAAGGAAGCTCACTGGGTGACTTTGGACCAGACATTCTATCTCAGCCCAACCTACCCCACAGGGTTGTTTTTGTGGGCAAAAAATAAAGCCAGATCCCCATATAAACAACCTTGAGTTCCTGGAGGAAAGGTGCAATGCAAATCTAATAAACAGATATATGAATGCATTTGTTGGTGTTGTCATATTGGAACTTGGAGCTTGAAGGGTGAGCTTTAAAAAGAGAGGAAATGCAGATCTTGCATGACTACGTAGTCAAATACATCACGCTTCCGTGAAGGGAGGTACATAGGCTTGCAGGTGTCTGATCACCCTGTGGAATTACTTTCAATCTCAGATACTGCTTAGATAAATTCAACTTCCCGCTGACTGGATTACACTGGCCTGGCAGCCGCTGTCTGTGTTGTAAGCGAGCTCCAGCAGGTACGAACCATCCTGGTGAACACTGCCCTCTGCTTCTTTTATCACATTCTGCCAAGTGGGGCGTCATTCGTTACCCATCCCTTGCCCTACCCAGCCTGTCCCACTGCTATTATTTTTAGTGGGGTTTTCTTGGGAAGCTCACCTGGGCCAGTTTCACAAGTAACTGGGAACTGCTGGATTTCAGGGGCAGAGGTATTCTGGTAGAAACTGGTCTCATGTACCCACCAATAGGGTCTTTGTCCGAAGAGGATCCTGCCAAGAAAGAGAACGTCAGAATGCTGTGAGCCTATATAAGGGGAAGGGATTCCCTTCTGCATCTCCATCTAGGGCCAAAAGCAATCGTGATGTCACATGCCCGCACATCTTTCTGAACATTTAGATCCAGAGTGTTTACAGAGAGATACTTCTGCTCTAGGAATCGTGGGGTTCAGGAGTCCTGTGCAAGAAAGGAATAAATATGGCTCTGGCTTATCCACGGGACAAAGGCCTTCATCTTAAGGGTTAGCTCTGAAGCTTGCACAACTTTACTAACTGAGGACCTTTTCCCATGCCATGAAAAATAGCTTCCTAGGCTTTTGGTAATTTACACGAAGAGGAGGGAAAGGGGAGAAAGTGGAGGAAAAAAATGAAATCTTAAATCTATCATGGCAATCCAAGCAAGCAGGTTCACATACTAAAAGAGGGGCTCTGGAAAGAGCGGGATGACCTTGTCATTTCTGCAGCAGTTAATCTCTTAACAAGGTAGTTGCAGAATCCAAGCTTTCTGAGGTGGAACGTCTTACTGTCTGATTCCAAATTGATGAGAGTTGGCTGTGGGAGATACTCTTGGCAAAGGAAAGCACTTGGTATGATATCCTTTAAATGACACTACAGCAGGTTACACTAAGTCATTGTTTAGCCATAGTTGGTTAATTAATCTACACTTTGCTGAATTCATGCAACAGACTAAGGCATAAACCACAGCTGACAAACCACAATTGGCAGGATTCACACAACACATTTAGAAAAAACAAAAACCAGACATTCATGGCTTAGCATATGTGAACCCAGCCTCTATGTTGAGTGGCTAAGCCTAACAATGAAACACTGAATTTGTGGGACAAACTGAAGCTGACAGACCACCTACCACTTAAATACGAGGTTTAGCCAGTCACCAATCACAGCCACCCAGATGAGCTTGATCCCCACCGCTTCGCAGAGATGGAACCAAATAGGAAACAGGACAAAGAAAGTGTTTCGGAGGTCAGCAGCAAAAGAGACAAAGAGGAACCAGTCCTGGGATCCCGGGTAGCTGGTTTGCAGAAAGTGTGTGGCTTGGATGCCTGTGTGATGTAGAATATCCATGCTGGATTCCATTCTCTCTCCAGTTGAGCAACGAACTATATTTGGTCTACGCTGCTGCTGCAATGTACCCTTTCACAGCTCTTGCGGTCTTTTATCCCCTCCCATGTGTGGCAGCTTGAGCTTTGAACCCAGAATCACTTTGGTCACAAAAACACCTCCTGGTCAAAGGTGCTTCCCCAAACAGCTTGGGACAAACGCATTTCAAGCAACTTATGTAAGAGGGGCAAGCAAGCTATCCAAAACAATCGAGGTAGCCATCATGACAGAGGTGTTAACGTTTTGCAGTGTTGTTTGTTCATAATTATCAATGATCATTCTGCCCCCATCTCCTGGGAAAAACCTAAGGAAACCCTGCTGGGTTTTGTCTGTGCGTCACTGCTCTTGATGTTACGTGGACCATGTATGGATTGGGTTTGTGATATCTACATTTGATCCTAGATCTTATTTTTCCAGAACTGAGTACAGCTCAAACGGGGGTTCTCTAAAGGTCAGCTAGTATTAGCCCATTCTTCTGGAAACTTGAAGGCAACTGCAGCCATTCAGTATGAACTTTTAAAAATTAACCGGAATAAATAAGATAACTTTATCACTTTGTCTACAAGTGACTATTGAACTCAAAAGTGTTTCTTACTATCTAAGAATACTAGCTCAAGCTCAAGTATTGCAAATTAGTGACCCTATAACATACTTCAGTCATTTGTATGCCCATAATCATAATATGAAATAATAAGTAGAAATCTCCCTTGCTAATGTTTACTGTACATTATACAGTAGAGTGAAGGTATATTGAAGCATGACTGTGGCAAATGTTTCAGGTTACCTTAGTGGAATCTTATGCATGTTTACCTGGAAATAGGGCAAGGGAGAAATGTGTTTATTATTTGTTTAATATATCTAATTTTGAATATATTTAGATATATTTTAATATCTAAAATAGTTAATTTTGCATTTTCAATCCAATAAACAAAGTGGATGTTAAAGAAGTTTATAAAAATGCTTCTATTCCTCTTCAATGGTTTAAACTATTTAAACATTACAGTGTTAATCATCTTTAATCAGCAGTGTATAAATACCACTGTATCAAAATAATAAAATGTATTATGTAAGTTTTACAACTATGTAATAGGAAATATTACAATTTTTAAAAAAGAGAAAAATGCTTCTATTTTTGTTAATACTACAACAAATTATGTCATATTAAGATAAATTATCCACAAAAATATACCAAATCCCCAAGAATGGCACATATAACACCTTTACTACAGGAGCTGCATTGGGTCCCAGTTTGCTTCCAGGTCCAATTCAGGATGTTGGTTATTACCTTTAAAGCCCTACATGGCATGGGTCCAGGTTATCTAAGGGACTGTCACATCAACCTGGCCCACCTAGTCAGGCAGAGAGGGCATGTTACGGATCCCATCAGCAAGAGAATGTCAGCTGGCGGGGCCCAGGAGGAGACCCTTTTCTGCTGTTGCCCCTGCCCTTTGGAATATTCTCCCTCCAGAGATGTGGTGGGCCCCTACCCTCCAGGCTTTTTGGAAAGGACTAAAGTTTGAGCAGAAATTGTTTCATGAGATGGCTGTTCTTCTAGCTTTGGCACTCTCACACGGACAGGATGTTCATTGCCCCCAAACACTTGCTTCTTGTTAGAAAAGGTCTTAGAAGCCCACCGCTGGAGAATTCAGGCTGAATTGTCTAGCATCTCTCCTCTGACCAATGGAGGGGCCCAAGATGGTAACAGCAAGTGGAACGCAGGTCTCCCCCCGTCTTTGTCTCCTTGCATGGCTGGAAAGAACAACTGGCCACTGCCTGCCAGGCCATAGGAATGCTAGCATGGTGGTTCCAAAGTGCTATGGCATCTTAGTGACAAGAAGGGGAGGACCCAGGAGCTGGAATGCAAATATTGGTATGAGTTTCCACCAACAGGAAAGCTGTCCTCCTAGACAAAGATATTGTAGGAGGAAGTTGCTAACTCCAGTTCTTTCTGTGAGAACAACAGCATGGAATACTTTCTGAATTCTTACGACTGAATTCATATGAACCATCTTTTTTGGGGGGTGCGTGACATTCTTATTTTTGAGATAGATAGAGAGATACTGTAGATGAGAGAGGGAGAGAGGGAGAGGGAGAGGGAGATGAGAGATCCCGGAACTTCATGTTTAAAACTGAGGCTGTATGGAATAACGTACTAGGATTTTTATCATTTTCACGAGCTTGTGCCTGATGATTGGAAGAATGCCATGATTGTCCCCCTTCTCAAAGGAAAAAGTAGCAAGAGTGAATGCAAAAGCTACTGGGAGATTAGTTTGTTAAGTATGCCTGGGAAGGTCTTTGGCAGAATTCTGACTGCAAGGGTGTAAGAGGTGCCAATGAGCAGTCATAATTCAACGTTCCTTCACTCTATTGTACATGCACCCAAGCACCTGAAAGATGTTTGGAGAACAGAGATGAAAGCACCGCCTCTATTGCTATCGCAAGCTCTGCCTCTAGTAACAGCAGCAAAGGCTACCAGTGGTGTTTTCTTAGCACTCTGTCAGCCCAGCAATAAAAGCCAGAGTGGAAATGGAGAGGGTTGGGGGGGGGGGGGTGGGGGGGGGGGGGGGGGGGGGGCTGTCGAGTGAGTGAACCCCGCTGTCACCATTGCATGAGTGTGTCTGCTGCAGAGGTGGTCCATATCATGCAAAGAGCAAGCTTATGCCAGGAGAAGATGGAAAACACCAGGTCAACCGCTGTTCCTGGCCTCAGCTTGTATTGGCCATGGGATGTAGATGGGAAGAAGGCTGCATCATGCAGTGGGGTCCTTCAAGAATGCTAAACTGGTCCTCCTCAAGCCAAATGTATATCTGCCCAAACAGGCATCCTATCTTCATTTTGCCAAAATGATAGTAACGAGCACAAGCTTGATTTCTTTTCTTTTACTTGAGCCTTTAACAATTTTTAAGAAGTTACACCAGAATAAAGATACAAACAAAACAACACAAACAAACAAAAAACCAGCAGTAAAGAAAAATAAATTATTAATAAAGCATGAGTAAAACCATTGCGGAAACACTTTTTAGTGATGCATTCTTCCTTCCACTTGTTTCCCCAACCACTAACCACAGCCTAAATATCTGTACTTTACATTGAGCATTGAAGGTTATCACTAGTATTTGTTTAAATCATTTCATCTGTTATTTTTAACTGGCCTCATAACTCTTTTCCTAGAAATCATACACCAAATGTCTAAACCTGCCGCTGTGTGATGTGCAGTGTATCAGGGAACCGTTCCTGCTGAAATTTGATTAGACTTCTATTATGGATATATGCTCTCAGCTTTGCCACTGCTGCATATTCTCCCATTTTGGTCTCCCAAAGACAAGCTTTCTATCACTTCAGTGATGGTTGGGTGATGCTGTGAAGATTTCATAAGTCACTACTATGGAAATTTCCTAAACTGCACATCATATAATCTGGTGCTTCATTCCTCATAATAATCCTGGGGTTACAACTATGAACTTTAGTCGTTAAAGATCTTTCCTGATTGGGGTTCTGCAGCTTTCTTTTGTAGAAGGAAGGAAGGAAGGAAGGAAGGAAGGAAGGAAGGAAGGAAGGAAGGAAGGAAGGAAGGAAGGAAGGAAGGAAGGAAGGACAATGTAAACCTCTTTTTAAAAAATTGAATAATATAAATTATAGATTGGCCTCTGGTTAATGAAGTACAAGGGACTGCCATTGTGAATGAGGGAAGATGCTGTGAAAAAGATTGGACCATGTGTATGAGTGACAGAAATGTATGATTTATTTCCCAGATGCAGAGTCACTGATATAAATGTCTTCTCTTGTTCCCCATCTCTCAGGCTAGTTTTTTCAGGGTGGAAACCAACTTTAGAAAAGGAAAATTAAACCTTGCCAAGCCCTATCCTCACTTTTATCAGCAGAGAGCATGCAATCTCTATCTTCCACTCAGGCTCTTTTGTGTAGAACTATGTTTTCCTGTTTATCGCTATTCTATTGTCGACTGCTCGTGCAGTTTGTTCTCATGTTCCTGGAAATCTGGTTCACACAGCAAACGTGTATTGTAAGCAGATAGTTCTCCTAGTCCAGGACAATGTTGTCCACACTGTGCCACTGGGAAAAAGCAGGGCTAATGTTTACCGGCCAGCCAGTGAAAATGCTTGGCTTATCTCTTGCTACCAACGAAAGTCCAGGCTTAAGGCCCTTGACCTGCTGCAATCTGCGCAGGCAGTGGCCATGCCCCTGAAGGCCAGGCCATTGCAGACGTGGAACTAGAATTTGGGAAGATCCAAAATCAGTCACCCGCTGACCTTTTCTACTTTGCACATCTACGCACAAGCAGAAACTATCCATGGTAGCACTCAAAAAACTGGAAGATAAGTAAAGCAAACTTTAATTAAGTCTTAGTTAGGGCCAAGGCACTCATACTATCTTCCTTACTAGGAGAGGGGGGAAAAGCGGGGGGGGGGGGGAAATGACAGTGGAATAGTTGCGCAATGTCTTTTCTCCATTGCAGAGTAAAAAAAAAATTTTTTTTTT